GGAAAGAGACAGGGTAAACATGGCAATATCCTGAATTTAAGCATTCCTTATTTATGAGGAAGCTTAGGGTGGTTCTTTTCTTTTCTTCCTCAAACATATAATAAGTAGAGCAGACCAAGTAGCTAACGTAGTGACTAGATAGTAGAACTGCAAACCAAAGCTGATTTGTGTCAGTCTTGAGATGTACGCATTCAAGTACCGAGAAAGAATGTGTTTTGAAGCCGTTGTCATGGGGTAAACCTTTACTGCCCAAACAGATAGGCAGTTCAGCCTTCAGATACACAAAGAAACAATATCAGGAACAAGGAACTATGTTGGTGACTTCAAAAAGATTTTAAGGAATGTGAGAGATACTGTTTGCCTGCAATCTGTCACTAACCTTTCAGAAAATTATTTGTACATCTGTGTTGGTATAGGCAAATTAACTGTAAGCAAGTATGTTCGTTTTTTTTCTCTAATTTGTATCTATAAAAACATCAGATGTTTAGCTGAGGAAAAAAAAGACAAAAACATTCCCACAAATATGCAGTAACACGCTGATTGAAAGATTTTTAGCTCTATTCTTCAGATACAATTAAAAAAAATATTCCATGGAAGTACCATAACTTTGGACATGAGCACTATCAAAAACTAGAACAAATATAATCTGGGAGTCAAAAATTTTTACACCTGTCTTGATAACCAATATATGTTCCTATTCTGTTGATTCAACCAACTGTAATTTATTTTGAAAGATATAAATTTACTCAATGATATATTTCAGCAATAATAACCCCCCTAAAGAGGTTTCATAAATTACATATTTATGCTTCAATTTTATTAGTCGCAAAACTGTGGTAAATGGAATATTAGTTGCAGCAAGCTTGTATAGAGAGGACCCTGAACCTTCACAGAGTCTGTGGAAGAGAAAGTTCAGTAAAACAGATCAAAGCATAAGGCTGTCATCTGATGGGCAAGAGAAGTAACATGGAAAAAGAATCCAGATTTCTAAGTTACATTTACTTTCTAAAATAAGTTTAGCTTCTGAACTCAAAAGTTCAGCTCCCTTATGAAAACCTAACTTAGAAAAGAAAGCGTGATAAATCTATTTTTACACAAAAGGTCCAAAGGCACCTCTCACCGGGGTCCCTGAAGTTACACCAAGATGAATTTAAGTCTTGAAATTAACTTGTTCTTGTATGAAAAGGTCTTCAACAGAATAGTTCATCTACCATCATAAAATGAGACCAGAGAAATACCTTGTGAACTGCACTGTCAACGTACAGAAGCTTCATTTTTGTAATAAACGAGTGTCCAATTCTTTGAACTTGAGACAGCTCAATTTACAAGCCACTTTAATATTGCTGTAAGTGGGCTGAGTGCCTGCTCTCCGCTGCCTGGACAGAGCAAAGGTTTCCTGTAATAAGCAACGAGCTGCCTTTACAGTTGCTGCTCTCATAACCCCCTTGTATGTCATCTGTTCATTTCATTACACACTTTGATAATTAGTTAAGAATTGAGAAATGCAAGAGAGAAAATTCACACAAATATGTGAACAAATAAGACCTGTAGGAATATAATTAGATCACATACTGGCATCAATAATAGCCATTTTTCTCATTCAAAACTATGTTGCTGTTACATTCTTTCCCTTTATGTGTGTGGTATTCAATTGTATAATGTGGCACGTTCCTACTTTCATCAAATACTGTGATGTTCTTAATAAGGGTTATTATTGAATGTGCATATGGAAATGTATTAATTCAAACAACCAGCATGAGAGGTGATTGTCACTATGAAGCCTGAAAGGAAATCTGTACTGAACATTCCTGATTAAAACATCTGTCTTTGATGCTCAGACGGTTCTTCTGCTTTCTTTAATCACTTACTTCTCAATTCTGACAGAACTAACTCAAGCACAATGCATCTTCAGACTGTTAATATCATAACAGTGTAATAAATCTTTAAATACTAAGCATTTGAGTAGGCATTTCACATAGCCATGTGTGCTGCATACAAAATTAATGAGAGATTAGAAAGTTAATGATGTTTCCTAATCTATATTTCATATGCACAAGCAGATGGTCATAACTGTCATTCTTAAGAAATCAAAAAACAGGCTTGAAGGGGATCTTGAAATGTCAAGACAATGGCAACTATACTTATAATAGTTAAAAGAGAAAAATTTACCCTCCTATGGAGCAGCTTTCCTGCAACTGACTTTTGGCATGGATTAATTTCTGTATAAAACTTCTTTAGCAGACAGAAATGCCCATTAATAGGATTATCTGAACATGGGATAAGAAATACCAAGTCTTGCTCAAATCAGAGATTTTACTCATGGCCAGCTCAACTCAGATTTTCTTGCTTTAGAGATAAGTTATATTAAACTTCATGCAGTTTGACCTGCTGAATCACCCAGATGAATATTTAAAAACCCCAATCAGCTCTGTACGGAAAAATAAAAATTAAAAATCTAGGGATTTCACTAGGATATAGCTTTCCATCTCTGTCAGTGGTTGGAGAGAGTACACGGTAGTGGCATTCCATGCACAGACATTATAGTATTTTCCAGACTGTGTCAAAGAGCCTTTTCTATTGTAAGAATACTTAGAGTAATTCCTTAAAGAAGGAGCACTGGAACAGGCTGCCCAGAGAGGTTGTGGAGTCTCCTTCTCTGGAGACATTCAAAGCCCGCCTGGATGCGTTCCTGTGTGATCTGATCTAGGTGTTCCTGCTCCGGCAGGGGGATTGGACTAGATGATCTTTCAAGGTCCCTTCCAATCTCTAACATTCTGTGATTCTGTGTGAGTATATATATAAGTAATTTGCTGACAGATAAATGAGTGGATACCCACAAATGTGCTGCTTATCTATCCTCAAGCTTTTCAGTCTAAATAAGTCTCTAAATACAAGCTTAAAAATTACATACTCACAAAGACACACAAACACAACTTAGCAGCTTTTCAGCATCCGTGTATGTAGTTTATCATCCTGTTTTGATTAACTTTCACACATGGTGTCAACCATCATTATTACACTACATGGAAAGAGAGGAGCAGAAGAGAAGCACAGCTGTCCCCAGGACATCTTATGCTTTCCCTGCCCCTCTACTCGACTGTGAGAGATAAACTACTGCCCTTGAAGTAATTTAGTTGCTAGAGATCCCATCCAAAGACTGCTCTGTTGTGCCATTTGAAAATGAGCCTGCTCCTTAGCTTCTAACTTAGGTCTTCTGCTAAAAGTAGAGAAATGCATGACACACCATAAACACCTATCATATCTTAACCCATGGCTCTAGATGGAATCCTTTTATCTGTGATCAAAATACTCTCTTTGATTAAAATCACTGATTATTTCAAAAAGTCAGTCATGAAATCTATATAACCACAACCAAAATAACTTTCTCAGTTCATTACATATCATAGCAGATTCTCACATTACAGTAACTTTATGTTTATAACTAGATATAACAGATAAGGAATTCACTCTTCTTGTGCACTTAAATCCTTGGTACAAAACAGTCAAAGAGCAAGCCAGTGAGGTTCAAGACACACTATAGGTATTCAGTTTCATAGTTGGCTCAGTGTATGATAAAATACACTAAAAAAACCACAGAGGTTTTGAGAAAAGTATAACATGTATTATACAATTTAGAGGAATTATTTTTGCCTTTTTTTTTTCACAGCCTCAACTGAAAACCATTTCTGTGCTCTATTGCAACATTAAATAATAATACATGCAGCTACATGAAAAAATAAAATTATTAAATAAAGGCACCAGACTTACCAGAATGCATAAAAAGTGAATGCTAATGAATGATGCCTTTTGAAAACAGAAAGTCAGGTGCATACATCAAAGCTGGTTAGCATGTGTTTAGCCTATAATCTAGTCAGACATTGACCTTGTCAGAGATACAAGGCTTATTACATTTTTATATACATATATATATATGTATCTATGTTACTCATAAATTTATATACATTACCATATGCTTTAATAGGCATCCTTAGAATTTGTTTTACAACTGTCAACTATCAATATATCCTGATGGCTAGAGAAATACAATTAGAATGGCTAACTCATCCTCACAATGCATTAGAGGACATCTAATCACTGAAGTAGAAGAATCCTCCCTTGGTGTACAAACAAGCATACAAAATCAAAGTATATTTTGGCAAATAAAGTAAATTTTAAATAGGGCTTCATTTTTAGCACAAAAATATGACAGCCCAATTACTTCCATTACCTAGCCTTCTACCAGAAGGCTCACTTACAATTTTCACTTCTTACTAACTCACTGGTGCTCTTGTTTATATGACAGAGAAACATATTTTGTAAATCAAGCAATCAATGATTTGATTAACAAAGTGCCAAGCAGTACTTCAGTGAAGATTACCCTTTGCATTTGTAAAGTTAAAAAAACAACCTTGAGGCAAAAAAAAAAAAAGTATTATATACAAAAATTACTTTTTATGTGTGGTTAAACATTATTTGGCAAGTCTCCCAACATCACTTTCTAAAATATACTTTTCAATTGATAACTTGAAATTCAGACTCAGTTTGTTGAATTATGCCCTGAGGCTAGCACACATAAGGAAAGCTGCAGTTCCTGTTGTCACTTGTCAGTAATTAGAAGAACTGGGAAAAAGAAAAAAGTGACAGTCTGTTATAATGCTATATTAAAGACAAGTGCATCCTTTCATTTTAAAACTGAGGATTTATGCAGTAATGAGAGAGACATTATAGAGCACACTTTACTTGGTTTTGCAATGAAATAATTTAAGGAACTCTTCCTGCCCTGAGTTTGCAGAAAATAACATGGAAGGACAAAAATGGTATTAATAAAAAATAAAATTTGCATTTTAAATATGACATTTCCTTCCTTTTCTTATGCATGCCTGTGCTTTCATCCATAACTAAGAGCCATGTACTAAATTTCAAAGCATTATTTCTCTGCACTGCAACAAGGCCACACTCAAACTGTCTGCTAAGAAAAACAGTCACACAGAAAGAAACCAGTGGCAAGTTTTCTGTACTACTGGGAAATGTTCTACAGCTCTATGGGTATTTAAACAATATATGGAGTATTTGCTGCTAAAATCAAGAGTTAAAACATCAGTCTGTTTTAAGTTGCAATTGCTCCTTTACAGCAATTAATAAGATAATGTCATTTATGTATTTATTATTTCGAAATATACACTGCATATCTGGATGAAACGCCAGCCGAAATAAGTGAACCTATGTATATAGACAGAAAAGCACTTATTCCGATGGCTTAATTACTATTTTCACTTTCAGTAACTGCAATTTAAGCACATAGTATACTGTTAGATATGAAATGTATTTCCAAAGTAGGACTTCCATGATACAGAAAAAAATAGAAGATTCTTGATTCCTCTACTAGGAAGGTTAGTGGTAACGAGAGTTCTGCCTTAGGAAACAGTAGAAAGCTCTGTAATGACAGAGAGGATACGGGAATGTCAGCTGAGATGAAAGCAAGGGAATTTATGGGTAACTAGAGCTTGGATTTACCACAAGCACTCTTCATCCAGATACCTGCCATCTTTGTCAGAAGGCTGAGACATGCATTTGGTGTTGGGCACATGCCAGGAAGACCCTTGTCTATTTTCTGCTGCTTGAAATATGTTCCCTCTAGAGCTGCTGCATAGCAGTGATCAGCTGTTATTATGGGAGGCAAGTAGACTATGACAGCTACTAAACAAAATTAAAATATCTACCTTTCCAGAAGAGGATGGCAGCAGCCTTTTGCTCCCTCTTGAGCTGGAACGAGAGGAAGTTTTCCACGCATTCATTTCCTCTTCACACCTTGCTATCTTCTTTTTCAGTTTCTCTCTTCTTTGCTGGTCAGCAACTTAGGAAAGAGATGAAGTTTGTCAGATGCAAATAAAAATATTATTCTTTTTTTTGTCCTAAGTGATTTGAAAATGTCTTAGGGTTTTCCAATTGCTCAGCAAAGTCAGATTATTGAGCTATGTTCCACTTCCAACCCATGGCAGTTATAAAAGTTACCTCTATTCTTAAAAGAAAAATATTAAGAGTATGCTAATAGCTGAAGCTGCATCTTAGCTGAAGCTGTACGTTAGCCTTCCTGAAGTATTCTCATCTCACAACTAATACACCACTATGCAGGAATTCCAAGCTCAGTATTGCTAACAGAGCACTCTGCTCAAAAACTCACAAGTTTGCTCTCAGTTTTTTACAGACAGAACTCCTTTGACTGTACTCTCATCTACTATTTCAGCAAAAAAACCACCATGTTTACTGTCAGTAAATTTAACAGGTAAAAAATCCATGCTCACACCATGGAAAAATGGCGAGTATTCCACTAAGTACAGGAACCCATGTCAAAACAAGCATGTTCATGTCAAGAACATAAAAAGTGAAGGCAAACACTGTGAAAGGGCCACTGTCAGATCAGGAGGGGAAATTGTTATCAGTCTACATTTGTCTGCAGTCCAAGACCTTGTTCACAGTGTCCATGCAGCACAGAAGATGAATTAGGTATCTATGCTATCAGATAAAGAGAGGAGCCCAAAGGATGGGTAAATTTTCTGTGTTTGAGTGCTCTCAGTCACCTACATTTGATATCTTGCATAACATAGCCCAAAGTTTTTGTATATTGTGAGTATCCAGGTGCCACAGATGAAGTTCACAAAGTTGAAAAATCCAAATGAGGCTGATGAAAAGCATTAACAATTTAATTTCAAAATGGGAATGAAGAGGGTTTATAAAAGCAAGCATGCTTCTGAAGTCTGTATACACAATGAAACCTGTTTTAACTCTTGACTACATTTCTCATTCACTTAACACAGACCCAAGCATAGGAATGGTTTGTTTGATACAGACAGGCAGACAGAAAGGCCTTTGTGGATTTCTTCTTCAGTTTCATAATGTATTTATATAATACTTTGTTAGACCCCAATCTTCACACACATTACTGTACTTAATGCACGGAAATGTAAATAACTTCATGGATTCATGTGGTACATTCTTCTAGACAGCTGAGAACTACAGCAATCTGAGGACATTTAATCAACCTTTAAAATACACTCATTTGTGTACATTAACTGTACAGACATCTTAATCTCTACGAATTATGTAAGTACATGTATTCATTTTATTAAACATTTTAGTCCCCCTTTAAACTAGAAATTATTCTTTCAGATGCAAAACCCTTGCTCTCATTCCTCAGGGAAATCCATCTTTCTCTTTCTTTCAATTCTTGCAACTGATATGTAAAATACAAAGTAATTTTTTTTCTATGGCTGCTGATGTATTCAGTATATTTTATTAGAGTACTTACAAGATATGAAGTTGCTTTTATTACTGGAAAAATATTAGCTGAAGATAAGCTAAATTATACAACTCAATTAAAAATTTGCCTTGTAACAGAAGGAAACAATGTACTGTACATTAAATAATTAAAACTCAGTATTTTTCTTCCTACACTATCTTATCATGTAGCTATTCCAAATTACTACTATTTCTAATTGTGTTTATCTTTAAAGTTACACATGAGCACTCAAAAATTATCTACAGGTCAGAAGTTTTATATGTCTGAGATAAATAATTATTCACACTGGGCCAACATGTGCACACGTGTGGAAGCTGTAAAAACTCAAGCCTTGCCTACTGCTCAGGTAACATGGTGATGGCTGAAATGAGAGCTGAATAAATAACTAGAGAAATGAATAATGAATATAACGAATGAATGAGAGCTCTACAAAGCAAAAATGCAAATCATACAGAAGTATGGGTGTCTCATTTTCTAAGTGTGAGTAGATGCCTGAAACAGAAATTTCCTTACACTCAAGTGCTTAGGTGGAAACCGGGTTTGTCTAAGACAAGACAGGCTTAAACCCATTTACTGTATGTTCTACCTGCATACCATGGCTTAACAGGAGTTTCTGGGCAAAGTGCAAAGCACTGTGAATATTACTGCAAAATTGAGTTCTTGTCCTTATTCTGCTCTTTACAGGATATAGTCTGAGATTTCACATACATGGATAGACTCTGCCTTTACCACTGGCGTTCAAAGCTATAAAAGCCAATTACTACCATTCTCTTCCAGGACTGCGTGCTACTAGCCTTCTCGGCCACAGCACAGCTTGTGCCCATGAGTAAAGAAAGAAAAAACAGTAAGCATGCCAGGATGCTAAGGCTATCTTTGGTTGTCAGAATGACCCATTGGGACTATGTCACCTGCATGGGAAATGTAAAGTCTTTGCCTAACACCAGTCATACACTGAGCTTAGCTCAGCTAATCCATTAAGTGCATTCTAACAGCTATGAAGTCACACATGTGTACTAAAAGCCAGAGCAGATGGATGCAAAGCAGCATGGCAGAAAATCCCAGCAGTGCACACATCTTGTTGCCAAATTAGAGAATTTTCAGGATAGGCCTGCTGTAAAAGTTAGGAACTGTGAAACCATCAAATCCAGAGAGAAAGAAAACCTTCTTGAACAGAGTGTCGATGTAAACAGACAGCTAGGCGTAAGTTAGGATAGCCCTTAGGCAGTCAGCAAAAATATAGACAAGGGCACAGACACAAGAACATACACGCTGCCAACCTACCACCCCTGACTTCACATGTCCTTTCCTGAAGCAGGGACTGGAGAATACAGTCTTTCTGTTTGGCTTTAGCCAGACAGAAAACAGTATCTTACAAATGGCCTGAACCTTTGCAGCACTGATTACAAGTAATATTACAACTGATGGGTGCGGGCTGAAGATACTTAAGGCTGCCATATATAAACGCTTGTTCTGCAGTTGTGAATATATTAAATGCAGAAAGAATAAGATGAGCATTCAGGAAGAAACATGCAGCTTTACAAGGGAGATTTATCTGTTAATTGGAAAGGTTACTTACTGCTAGAGGTATCTTCTGCTTCAAATCAATCACAGATATGTAGCTTCTTTAGCTTTCAGTGAGGTTAGCAAACTAAATTTGACAAGACTGTCCTTGACATACTGTCATTGACCAGCGGGAACTAAATATCAACTGCATTTGTTAATGCAAACGCTTAATTTCACTGAAAGTAGCTTTTACTGTACATTGGCTCCAGAAACATGACAGTTGTAGAGACAAATATGTGAAAGGTTCAAGACAGTAAGTACCTTGTGACAAATAAAAGAAAAAAGAAAACCACTGGGTTTTTCTCATCTCTAAAAAGGGAAAACTAAATGTTTAGGAACACAAAACTAGAGTCTATAGATCTAAATAACGAGTCTCTCTTACAGCCTTATTAGAGACTTTGAGATCAATTATATCTCACTAACTGCTGTGCTCAAAACCACCACAAAGTTTTATAGTAAAGAGAAAATGTATTAGAATATAAACAATGTAGTGATTTTTGTGTATCAGATAAATTCAGAGTCTGTGAAACTTAGTTCTGTAACTTACTGCACCCACCCCATGGAGCTGTTCTCTTAATTCTGTCAGCAACAAGAAGCAGCACAAGAAAGACCACAAATTTTGGTAGTTTATCTGTAATATTCTTCATAAAGAGCTACCTATAAAACGCTGATCAATCTGTCACAGGAGTAACACTTTCGCTTAGGCAAATACTCTTTTTGCAAAGAGCACACCACACTTACAAAGCAGAGATCACATTGGTGTATTTCCCTGTTAGAATACTCCCTCTATAGGTTTGATTCTTTATTCCTTAAGCCTAGGCTGCAGCAGCGTTTCCAGACACATGCTTAAGAGTTCTTCCAAAACACAATAATTGTACCTACCACGTTCCTAAGCAGCTTGGAGGCTCTGCGCTTATAAGGACAGTATGATTTGGAATGCCAGTGCTTCTCTTTTGCTCTGAATTTCCAATCTCTAAATATAATCATATGTCACACCACAGTACAATCAACAGTTAACCTTCAAGTTATTTCATTTTTGATGTAAATAATCCACAGCAGACAATGACATACTAAGTTAGATTTAAATTGAACTCAGCTTGCAGAACAATGTATCTCAAAAGAAACGGCCAACACTGAGCAGTTCTCCATCGTTCCTATATCAGCTATTTTTGCAGTAACACACTTCTGGTTATTATTTCCCTTATGAATTCTCTTATATAAACAATGTAAACATCAAGCTCATTTCTGCTGAGCCTGAAGTGCCTGCAATGACCATAATTAAAATGTTCAGCATATGAGCTGGTGATATTACTTTTGCAAGCAAGCTCTTCCTTGTGTAAGAATTTTTACTATCATCTTCCTAGCTCTGCACACAACCCCAATACACCATGATCAAAGCACCTGGGGTGAGATCTCATCAACTGCAAACTGAATTTTGCCATTGGGTGTGAAGTTCAGGTTTCTCTTAAGTTTAAATCTAAATTTCTTAACACAGAAATTTTAATTTTTATATCTCTAAGAGATGATTCTGCAGTCCTTCACATCCAATATCAGTAGCACTGCTTCATCAAATAAGAGGAATCACCATGCAAAAAAGTTGACAAAGGATTTATTAAGGGCTTGATGCTACAGCCTTGCTTGTATCAAATAGAAAGTAATGTTTGTATCAGGGTATGTACATCAGAAATGTGATACTGCTTGGCAAAGCCACTAATGGCAGAATCTGGCCATTGCTAAAGCTTGGAAATAAAGCCTAACAGTGGGACATAAATCCTTCAGAGGAATTTCAGGAGAGACTAGAAGCACAGGATTAGCCCAATCTATCCACCTCCAGTCCTTGCATGGGGTCCTCATCCAACAGACATTCTCGTAGATACCTCTGTCAGCCATATGAAGAATGTAGCAGCCTGCGCACAGCCTGCTACACAGAAATTGTGAAATGCTGCACCGACGCTGAAGAAAACTTCTGAACCTGCTCTGGTAAATCTCCATTC